TAAACTACATTCCTCCCGTGGTTAGCTTGGCTTATATATGGGAATGAGGAAAGGCAGTCAGCTTGAGAGGTTAGAAGCAAGATGGAGTTAGTTAGCTATGTTAGGTTTCTGTAACTGTTATATCTTACATGTAGTATTACGTTATGACATCTACTTGGATGAATGGTGATGTCAGTCTAGCATGAGGAGCAGGTGGGGTTAAGTGGAGGTTAAATGGAACCATAGTTCTGTGTGGGCGTGTCATCTTTGTGGAGCTTGAGGGTCATCCATTAAGCAGCTGGAAATACAGTTCTGGGGCTCAGCAGAGACCTTGGCCTGGAAGAACATGTTTAGAAGTCTTCAACATCTCATTAGGAAAGAGAAAGAGATCACCCAGGAGAGGAAATACAGCAAGGAAAGAAAATGGCCAAAGAAGGAAACCATGCTGGGATTGAGTCTCTGTGGTACCGATGGTCTTACCATTGATGTCAGAGTTAAAAAAGAAGAGAGAGTTATATTCAAATTCTGCTTGCTTTAGTCTCTTATTAACATTTTCTTACCACTGGTAAATGTCCAAGAAAAATATATATATTTTTGTTTTATCAAAAAATATACATGCTATTTGATCACTCTTCAGGCATTAACAAATGGTGTCCAGGAGAACATTTTAACAAAATGTCTTTTCTACTGTTAATACCCACAGCGACCGACTTGGAAATCAGTCGTCACAGAAGATAGCTGCAGGTTCTGGCTTTCCCACATCACCAATAATTCACACCTTTGTACATGGTTCTGGACGTGTTCTGTTTCTAATATTATACAACACTCAGTGGCACTGGACACTTGGGGAATCTTTAGGACTTTAAGTAGTTCATCGTTTTGTCCCAAACCTAGACACCACTGTAAGAAGCCCAACAGGCTACTCTTACCAGCAATAAGGGTTCCTGAGTGATATCGCAGAACAATGGGAAGTCCTGCGCTTGTGAATTCTCTTTATAGCTCCACGTGCTTAAGCAAGGCTTTTAAAGCTGACTCCCTGGCCGCATGGTAAGTCTGAGTGACTTGCAGGCAGCTATCTGTCTTGGGCAGGAGTTATTCTCTGAGACCATAGAAAGTGCCAGGGAAGGGTGGATGCACGTCACGTATGTGCATGAGAAGTAATACTTTCAACAGCAGCAGCATCTTCCAAGTGACAAAAATAACTCAGCCTTAGTCAGTAGCCCTGAAGCCAAGTGTCCCCTTTCACTGCCTGTTCTCTGCTGGTATCCTTCAAAGGGACATTGTGTCTTCCACAGTTTGGAATGTGATGTTTCTGTTCTCGCTGATGTAACTGTCTTAGTATCTGTCTGCTCTTCCTCTTGTTATGTGTTTGGAGCATCCTCACCTCTTGATCACTTGCAGTTTACAATCTTCTTAACTGTTGTTCATTCATACAGCACGAAACTGACGGCTCTCTGCCAGGCATGAGTTAGCAAAGTTGCTTATCCTCTGATTTCTATTGTTCTCCCAGTTTTTAGACTGTAGCTGTTTAATTAATGTGCAACAACTTTCATCACCGTATTTCTCCTAAAGGTCTTAGTTTACTTTATTCCTCTATCACAGAAGGTTCCTTCAGGTCCTGCCTTCTGAAAATAGATGTATTTCTTCCAAAATACTGAATCAGCTTTTAGATTTTTGAAAGTTCTTGGCTAAGTCTCTGGATATCTTGACTGACTTGCGAATATGATTTCTCCTTTTCTCTTAGCTCCGGGTTGAGCACCCTCTCAAGAGCTCTTGTGTTATAAAGCTTGTGTTCCTGAGCAGAAAAGGACTGATACTGATAGAGTATTAATCATTGAAAGATGTGGCTGTCACTGGTGGTGTTTCCTGTGTGAAGCTTCCCACCGGCAGACCTGGCTAAGTGCTTTGGTGCTGTGGGAAGAGCCTTCATGTACACACGGCTTGGCCCTTCACCTCCTCCTTCCCATCAAGACATAATGATTGGCTAGGCATGGTGGCTTATGCTTATAATCCCAGCACTTGGCCCAGAGGCCAAGGTGGGAGGATCACTTGAATCCAGGTGTTTGAGACCAGCCTGGGCAACATAATAAGACCCCATTTCTACCAAAAAAAAAAAAATGAGCCAGGCATAGTGGCACATGCCTGTAGTCCCAGCTACTTGGGAGACTGAGGCTGAAGGATTACTTGAGCATAAGAAGTCGAAGCTGCAGTA